TCCATCCATCCATCCATCCATCCATCCATCCATCCATCCATCCATCCATCCATCCATCCCTCCCATCCCATGCAATCCCATGGGCATCCGTATCCGATTCCATCGCCACCCGACCCCATCCCATTCCCATCGCATCCAATCCCAAAACAATAAAAAATAATTATAAAGATAAAAGACATAAAAATAATAATAAATAATAATATTAGTAAGAATAATAATAGTAAAAAATAGTATAAAGTGATTTTTTTTCAATTTCTAACCTTAATTTTTTATAAATAAATGTCAGTAAAAAAAATTAATTTTGAAATTAATGCCTGATATGTGGTCAGAACTACATACTAAAGACTCAAAAAGTTAAAGGGGAATTTGAACGGTTAATGAAACGGGGCTCCTACGACTCACTACGGGCGGCAGTCGAAGATGATGCAGTATAATTTCCCACGTATGTGATGTGGATTTGTACGCACTGCCATCTATTGTACGAATCGCATTTTTCGCAATTTTTGACTTTAATACATAAATCTTTTTAACTTGTTTTAAATTTTTTGTCTCAGCAGCCAACCATCTCCCAGTAAAACGTGGTGCATTTCTTGATTGAATATATCTTCAGTTAGCGCGATTGAGTGACAAATCAGGGCGAAAAGCGAGGACAAACAAACACACACACACAAGATTAGCCAAATTATAGTATAGATACTAAGCGAATACGAAGAGGCAAGATACGATGGTAAGGGCATCGACAGAAAATAAGAAGAACAAGACATTAAAGAAGAGAAATTGTTACCACGGACGTGCCATTTGGTTACATCGATTCGTCCAGCTAATCGCACTTTCTTTAATTCGTTACGTAGTCGCCATGGTGACCACGAAAAAATAACATGCGTCTAAACAGAGGAACTGCTCCGACCTGTGATTGGAGGTTAAAAATAGACCCCGCCCACTCCCGCCGCATACGCTATACTATGACGGGTAGGAACGTGTACTAACTATCATTTGGAGCGAACGATTTGAGTTACATTTCTATAAATTCTAGCTATTATAGACACATGTCTTAGCCTTAATCTCTGTGAATTTTGTCTATTGAAGCGCGATTAGTCTAATTAATTAGCAAATATGCACGCGCTGCTATGACCGGTGAAACGAAACGTCACGAATTCTATTTTTATCCTCTAAAAATGGAAAAGTGGGCGGGGTCTATCTTTATCCTCCAATCACAGGTCGGAGCAATTCCTCTGTTTAGACGCATGTGAAAAATCCCTCACGCGGTCGGCTAGACTGACACCACTGTCCCTTACGGCTGAACCCACAAGGGTTGATCAAGATACTGAACGACTTGCAGCATCAGTCTTGTCGCCGGCGTCAAATGTCGAACCAACTAGACTCCGTTCGTAATAACTGAACGTGAATGCGCACAGAGCGCGTCCGTTCTCGTAGCCACTTCGAAACACGAACAACGAGGTAAGCGCGATATCGCTGGTAAAAACAACGAGCTCGATGTCGTTGGTCAACAATGGTCGCAGAAGTCCTCGGTGCGCAAGATTACGTGTATGTACCTGATCAGGTAGATCGTGGCAGTGCGGTAGTAAGTTCTCATCATTTAGCGCGCGAGTCGCAATCGTCGTCTTCCGACGGGCGAAGGACAAGATCTGCGACGTTCTCGCCTTGTGCCGTATCACAGTTCTCCCGCGATCCATACAGAGCAGGCACGCACACACACACACACACACACACACACACACACACACACACACACACACACACACACACACACACACACACACACACACACACACACACACACACACACACACACACACACACGACGACGACGACGACGACGACGACGAGAGAGAGAGAGAGAGAGAGAGAGAGAGAGAGAGAGAGATAGAAACACAAGGAGAGAGAGACAGACAGACAGAGAGGGAGAAAGAGAGACAGAGAGAGAGCGACATAATTGCGCTTCATTGTTGATCAGATATGATGATCATAGAAACCTTGATTTTGTTGCACTACGTGCTTTCATTTGCTATGAATCCGTACATGTGAGGCGGTGTAGCGTGTAGCTTGTTGCATATCGTCAACTGGCTGCTACGTGCTACCATACCTAACATACATATATACAGCGTGCGTGCATAACTATGTGTGTGTGTGTGTGTGTGTGTGTGTGTGTGTGTGTGTGTGTGTGTGTGTGTGTGTGTGTGTGTGTGTGTGTGTGTGTGTGTGTGTGTGTGTGTGTGTGTGTGTGTGTGTGTGTGTGTGTGTGTGTGTGTGTGTGTGT